ATGCAGAAACTGTATTAATTACAACACTGTTCTGTTTATTAGCTCAGGCTTCTTATTAACTAACTCTTACATCTTAAATTAATCCATTCGTATTAATTGTGTCTGACCACTAGGCTGTGGCTTACTGGTGCTGGCATGTTACTCCTTTGGCAGCTACGTGGCGTCTTTCTAACTCCACCTACTCTCTCTACATAGCTCTTCCAGCCTGGCTACATTCTGCCCTGCGATAGGCCGAAGGAGCTTCTTTCTTAACCAGTGGTAATAAAACATATTCACAGCATATAGAGGGGAATCCTACATCCGATGTACCTTGTAGCATCATGTCGTTCATGATACAAACAATTTTACCTGCCAGATTCATTAAAAGATTTCAAAACCTCTGTCCTCTGGATGGATGATGATTGCTCTTGGGACCAGTGATATGGCTCACTTGACAGACTTAGCTGCCTGATTGGCACACGTGAAATCCATGGTTTGAGCCCCAGCACTGCATAAAACCAAGCATGGTGGCACCTGCCTATAATACAACACTTGGGAAGCAGAGGCAGGGGTATCATAGTCCTTGGTCTGTATAGCAAACTCAAGGCCTGCTATGACTATATGAGACTCAGTCTCAGACAAAACTAGCTACTGGAGTTAGTGAGTGTCCATCCCTGAACAAGGGTGAGGCTAGAAGTGGCAAACATCTAGGCGGTATCCATTTGTCATTTCCTCCCTCAGTTCAGGTTCCTGGCAGCAGGGCTCGGGTCTTTAAGCATCGCCCAGTGCTGTGTTGGAAATTCTTCTTGCCAATCAGGATCTTGAACTTGACCTCAGGTGGAAGTGAACATTGTTTTCTGAGGATGGAGGAGGGGCTCAACAGAACATGAGTCACGGTTTTGCAACAATGTTTACTGTTTCAGAATCCCAGCCCAGTCATACTTACACAGAGGCTACAGGCTGCTGGTTTTCGGCCTCCAATTTATCGGGTACCACTATACTGCACCATCCTTCTAAACTGCCTCCCTTGGTCCCTTGGTACTTTTTTGATGATAGTAGGTTTCATCCTTCAATTTGCCAATGATAATTCAGAAAGCTTGCTGGCACACAGATACCTGAGCCTACAGTAGACTTGCCAACTCCATGTAGCTGATGACAGTCAGCACATTTTCCAAACATTTTGGTAGAGCCGTTTCACCATTTGGGTACTATAAACAGCCTGAAACCGATCTGTATTTAAGGCCCTCACATACAAGTTTGAAAAAGCAAACTGAAAGATGGAGATTGTTGTATATATTTATAGGCCTTCAGCTCGATTTATCCAGGGATGCCAGATAGGTTGAATTTGGTGACACATCTTACTAAGTGTTATGTCAGTAAGACATAACACTTCTGATTAATGCAGCCTGAGAGTCATGTACCCCACCCCCTATAACATTTTATCAGTATTTTTTAGTTTATAAAAAAGTTATGTTTGGTAAAATACGAAATTGAACTTGACATGTATTTGCCCAAATGCATCAAAGCCCAAGACAGAACATCTTCTACCCAGAAGGTAGTTTTTTCTCCTAGTTGATCTTGCCCCCACCCAAAGAGGCAACTTTATACACACCTATTTCCTTTACATTTATTAATTTGGCATGAGTTTAAAATTCATACAAAATAGAAGCATATTTCACTGGGTGGTAGCAGTGCACGCCTTTAATCCCAGCACTTGGGAGGCAGAGGCAAGTGGATCTCTGTGAGTTCGAGGCCAGCCTGGTCTACAAGAGCTAGTTTCAGGACAGGCTCCAAAGCTGAAGAGAAAGCCTGTTTAGGGGGGGAAAAAGAAAGAGAGAGAGAGAGGGAGGGAGGGAGGAAGGAAAGAAAAGAGGAAGAAAGAAAGAAAGAAAGAAAGAAAGAAAGAAAGAAAGAAAGAAAGAAAGAAAGAAAGAAGTTTTCAAGGTTGGTTAGCTTGGTGGTGTGTTGATTAGGGAGTAGAAAGGGAAACTGGAAGCTGTCATCTCAGGGTCGGTCACATGTTCATCTTTTCTGTTGTCCAGCCCTCTCTGCCTTCCACCTTCCAAACCAGGCCTCCTTACTCCATAAGTGGCCTAGTTCAAATGTGATTTGGTGCATATGTATAATGCATGATGATTAAATCAGGGCAGTTGACCTTTCCAACCAAACTTCATGTGAGGAAAACCATTTATAAGTCCGTGTGGGCCACAAAGAATTACAGTCCTGTGTCTTCATTGTCCAGGTGACTGGATTTAGAATCACCTCTGAGATACGACTCTGGGTGTATTTTTTAAAAAATTTTGTTCTTGTTGTTAATTCAACGTGTTAGCAATTAGATGCATGTATATAATGTATTCTGCTTACCTCTGCCTCCGCCTTCTCTTCTCCCCACCCCTGTGCACTCTCCTCCTCCCTCCTGACAGGTTCTTTTCCCATGCTCATGTTTTTGTTCCTGCTGTCATCACTGTTTCCTTTTATGGCATCCCGAGTTTAATCTGGGACATCTGAGTGACCACAGGGATGGAACTCCACAGTGTGCCCGTTATGTTACCAATAGGTGTTTATTTGATGATCGTTCCCTCTCCCTGAGAATTCATCAGCCGTCAGTAGTTCCGAGGGATGGACCTCAGAAGACCCTTCCCCATCCATCAGTTGCTGTTGACAGATCCTGTCTTGCGCAGGCTCCGAGCAGGTAGCCTCAGCTGCTGTGACATCATGATTATAACAAATGTGTCACACTCAGAAAATGGTATTTCATGATCCTTCTCCCACCTCTTAATGTTCTCACCACCTTTCAGCCTTACCACATGGGGGACCACGCTTGTAACCAACAAACCATTTTGATCTATAGCAATCCAGTTTGGGTGCTCTGGGTACCCGTGATTCATAGGAGAGACCTCCCTTGTCCTGTCATTGGCCGTGGCTTGCTTTCTTCCCCCGTCCTCTTCTATTTCCTGTTGGTAGATGCTAGGCGGACCAAGTCTGGTTTTCTGATGAACACCCTGCACCCAAGCTGGGGACTGTGGGAGAGTCTCCCTGATGTGAACCCTGCAATGATGTGAATGAGTCATAACTCACAGGCACATTTAGTTTCATGATTGTTGTCATATTGTTTTCCAAAATGACTATACTGACTTACACTTCTATCAGCCGTGCTCGGTGGTTTCTGTTTCCACAGGGCCTCTGCAGCACCTGGTATGCTAAGATGTGTGCACTTTCTGCAGTGATCACGTTAGGGCACTGGACTGGCTCTTGTGTTAGATGCTTTACTTCCCATAGAAAAATTTTTAGGAAGAAGAAATACCAGGTAGGCAGACTATCTTCTATTAGAGAAGACAAATCTTTCCAGATATTCTGTATAGACTTCTCCTAAGTCTGTGCTATTGTGTAGCTTGGGGCAGGCGTCCTCCCAGCCAGTCCCCATCAGAGATGACAGGATTACTGTGCTGCTTGATGCCCCGGTTGATGATTCTTCTGATTGGCCAGTACTTCTTTTGAGCGCATGCCTGTCTGCCCTAAACCTACACAGAACTGGGATTCTTTTAAATAGGCGAGCAGGGACTGACTGGCTACTCAGCCACCAACAGTACATCAGGCTTTCGTTTTGGCCAATTCCTGAAGTGCACACCGCCTGTTCTGCGCAAGCAGTCTCCCCTGGATCTGTCTGATGAACCATTTTCAGAGTTCAGAAGTGGTGCGTTAAGCAGTACATCCCATTTCCCCGGAGAATAGATTTGTCCAGCTCATTTTAGAAACCTGGTGCTCTCTAGAAATGTTTCAGGCCCGGCAGACGTCAGACCTGTTCCCGCTCCAGCTGTTTAAGCTGGGGTTTCTGCACGCTCCCAATGAAAAGGGGGTTAACAGAAAGTTTCAAGGGCAGAGCACCACAGTTCTGGCCCTATGCTGTGACAGGTGGGGAGGAACAGCTGTCAGGGGCCAGAATCTCTGTAGGTAGTTGCCTCCCCTTCTCATCCACCACGTGGATGCTTTAGTAATCCTTGCGGTTTTCCTTCTGCCCAAAGGGGGAACACACTAATTTTTGAATGAAACCCAATTGTTAAGAATTTCTTGACTACTTGCTCTCTACTAGGCAGCTTGGAGGGAGAGTGTTTCCTTCCTGTGATCTCTTAGAAGTCACCAGACAATTCTCCAAGAGCCCGTCTGTGTCATGGCACCCGCTTCTAAGCTGGGTTCTGTGGTAGAGTGTTTGCTCAACACGCACAAGGCCCTGAATTCAATGCCCAGTGCCCAAGAAAAAAAAAAAAAGAACTTTCTTCCTGGCATTTATTAGCAAGGTGCTTTTAAGCATGTGACATCCCTGAGATATCCCTGGGCATTATTTGTGCACCATAGATAATAGTGGTGTGTTTCAAATACTCAGTGAGTTGATAATATAAAAGACTATGAATGCACTCAAATATTAGGTACTTTTTATAATATTAATTTAAAAAATGATGGAGAAACTGGGAGGCTCAGAGGCATCAGCTTCTGAAGCTTCGCAGATAGCTCTGATGATCAGAGCCGCAGCTAAAGCCCAGAGTATCTCACCCACAGCAGAGCTTTTAAGCGTCCTGTGACTCTGGGCTAGAGTGTTAGTGTTCCTAGAAATATTATTCTGCCTTCCTTTGCATTCCCACTCAGCCACACTTTTTACACAAAAAAATCGCTGCCACTGACCACAAAGACAGCACAATGCTTCCAAGACCTGTTCAATATCCGGTGTTCACCTGAATCAGAGCCACACACCTAGGTGGTGACTCATTACAGACATGGGAGCACCTATTAAGTATCTCCCGTGCCAAGTTGAACTCTGAAGAAAAGGCCACAAGGCAACAAGGATGCTGCTGGTTCACGGACCCATTCTGAGTGTCAAGGAAGTCCCTGGTCTCCCTGGTCAATTTTTCTCACACAGCTTATAGTACCGGACACTGTCTAGAGCACCAAGTGATTGTGCACACAGTTCAGCTTCCTGAGCATTCTGGGATATGTGATGATCACAATGACCCTGTCTTATTTTTCAGATGAGAAGCATCTACTTAGAAATGCCAAGTAACTCGGCTGATAAATAGCAAAGACAGAAGTCTTCAGGCTGGAGGCAATTCTGTGAGACAGTTGAGCCCTCCTGAGCTGGTAGGTAAGTGTGTACCTCCCAGAATGCAATGTGCCCAGAGTTGGGAATGAGTGAGGTATTGGATGGCCAGTGTCATTTCCTCTGGCCTCCTAATCCTGGATTCTAGTTTGGTTTTCAAGATAGGGTCTCTTTTCTTCTCTGCGTTTCTTCTCAGTCCTGGAACTCTCTTTGTAGACCAGGCTGGCCTTGAACTCAAAGAAATTTACCTGCCTCTGTCATTCAGTGCTGGGATTAAAGGCATATTCCACCACACCCTGCTCCTGGATTCCTTTTTAAAATTTGTTTTGCTTTTTGTAGGAGATTGATGGACTTACACAGAAGATAGATCCAGCCATGCCGTTGGTCCTACGAGAAGGAGACACTCTTTCCAGAAGACATAGAACATTCCTGAACCTGGGAAAGATGCCTGGAAACTGGGAGAGGAGGGAAGAGAGCACTTCCCCCTCCTGCCTGGGCATCTCCCACCATACTCAATTCTTTTCACCAGGTCACGACTGAGCTGTCCTCGTTCAGTCTTGGTTTGATGGAATATTAGTCTGAAAATTTTACTTTCAATTAAACTCACTAGTTGAACCACCTCTATCTTCAAAACATTCTATTAGGATGGCTAATTATAGCTATTGCTACAAGGCATTATTTGCACTCAATTTCAGCTCCTAGGCAATTTGGTTCAAGTGTTTTATATTTTCACTCTTTGGAGTTATGTGTAACCATCATCCTCTTACATTACAGGCTTCAAATGAGCTATTTTTAGAAACCCAGATCAAAACAGCAAATTTGGTGGTGACCATATCTGGCCTAATTTTAAGTGCTGATAAAAACAGTCAAAGACACAATGCTATACAGAGCAAGAAAGACAAAAGACACCCTCTGTTTATGAGGTCAAGTGTATGAAAAGTTCAAGCTGTCCTTTATAGTATGGTGTTTCTTTGCAAACTATCCAAAGCCAAAGACAATGGAAATTCCTCCCAAATTGCAGAGATTTGTCCTTCTGCTGTTGGCCATAATTAATGTGTTTCAAGATGGCAGCCATGGAAGAGTTTAGTGGAGACCCTGCATTTCCCATGAAGTGGAAATTATTTTCTGTTTATAGTTATTTATGTATACGTGAGTGTGTGTGTGTATGTGTATGTGTTGTATATAGGTAGTTATAAGTATTTGTATGTTATAACACAGCCAGCTTTCTGGAGTTGGTTTGTTCCTTCCTCTGTGAGTTCTAGAATGCAGCACTGACCCTATAAGCCATCTTTGAGCCGAGAGCACTTTCTTTGTGTTCATAACACTGCCCTCACTTTCTCTTGTGCCCGCAGACATGTAGCCTAATTCTTGCTTGCTAACCTGCTCTCCCTCCCCAAAAGTTCAGTTCTCAGCTTGTGGACCAGGACCATCCTCCCTACTGTCACATGCCTGCATGTGTTACATGTACTTGCGTGATGAACTGACGGACGGATGAATGAATCCTAAAACTACAACTTTCATTTTCTGTTTTTGAGAAAGTCACTATTTTATCACATAAACATTAAATGATTGCATTCATCTTCAAAAACAAACAAGCAGAAAACAAACCCCTAGAACTTTCCCAAGAAGGCTAACAATCTTCTAATGTGTCTTTGCTGATCTTTGCTTCATCCTTATCTCTGCAGAGGGAATACTTTGTCATCATTTTGGAGTACTTTTTTTTTTTAAACTGTTCTATCTTTTTTTTAAAAATAATCTTATTTTTATTTTACATACCAATTCTAGTTCTCTTCCCCTCCCCTCCTCCTGCTCCCCCCACTTTTCCTCTATACCCCCCCTTCCACTCCTCAGAGAGGGTGAGACTTCCTAGGGGGAGTCAACAAAGTCTGTCACATCACTTGAGGCAGGATCAAGCCTCCCCACCAATATCTAGGCTGAGCAAGGTATCCCTCCATAGGCAATGGGCTCTAAAAGGCCTGTTCTAAATACTGACTCCACTGCCCGTAGTGCCAGAAACTGCCCAAGCCACACAACTGTCACCCACATTTAGAGGGCCTAATTGGGTCCTATGCAGATTCCCCAGCTGTCCGTTTGGAGACAGTGAGCTCCTACTAGCTTGAATCAGCTCTTTCTGTGGGTTTCCCCATCATGGTGTAGACCCCTTTATTGGAGTACATTTTTTATAAAGTGTTATCATGCTAAGTAGATATACCACCTTTGATTTGAACCAAATGAATTTGTGTGTTTTCAGATATGCAAGCATATATGTGCACTGTTAAAAAAAAAAAGAGAGAGAGAATCACTTGTCTTAAATCTAGGTTATTGTGTCCCAAGTACTTCATAATAGTAGACAGCGAAGGAGTGACCTAAGATAATTTCCTCTCCCTGGGCCTTATATTCTCCTCTGCACAGTGGCTTCAGGGGCCTTTTGAAAGTATTAGACAGAATAATAGAACTTCCATATTACCACTGGGATTCAGACGCAGAATATACCAATAGCTATTTCTCCACTATGCATTGGGATGGGAAAAGGCCCTCAGCCCAGCGCTTAGCTGAGATAGCACCACAAATCATCCCTACTAAGCCCCAAACTATTGCCTCTAGGTTTTACTCTTCTTTCTAAATACTTTGTCATCATTTATAAAGAATTTTTTTGTTTGATCAAATATTACATATTGCATCCTGATGTCTCTCATCTCCACCGTATCCTATATGCCTGCCACTCTTGCCAACCTCCTTCCTTCCTGTAACTCCTTTCTTACATCCCTGTGTTTTATTCTGTTTAATCAGGTCTGCCTGTGTGGCCCCAAGGTTCCAACTATTTGTTGGAGCCTATCGGACCCACCTGTGGGTACATGACTGAACAATGTCTGCCCTTCTGGAATCTACCAGTATCCAGTAGTTCAGCAGGGTAGGATATGGTCCTTTGAGTCTCCCACCCGTCCTTGAGTGACTGATGCTAGGCCCAGTTTTGTAAGGGACAGGGTAGGCAACCACAGCTGCTGTGCAGTCAGGATTGCAATGGCTGTGTCGTGTCCAAACAATTGCATTCACAGCTCTTTTTCTTGTTGTCTGGCTCTTACAGTCTTTCTACTTCATCTTTTGTGACATTCCCTGAGCCTTGGGGGTCAATGCTATAACTCTCCTGAGCACTCTACCGTCACATATGGTCATCACCCTCTGAACCCAAGAATCTCTGTATTTACTACAGCTCATTGCAAAAAGAAGCTTTGATTAATGCCCGGCACAACATTTGTCTATTATACAAATGCAAACAAATATTTAGAAAGCAGCTGGATTCCATATCACTTACATTAAACATCTGTGGTCAGGTTCCCTATAGCCTAAGACCCAATTCAAAGATTTTTGACCTAGTTTATACCATCAAATATGGACCTTCTATGAAGCAGATCTCAAATCCAATAAGGTTGGTTACCACCAGAACATTCATGCCACTATTGCCCATGTGGGTGCATCTTAACTGGCAGACTGACATTGCAGTTCATAGGGTTCACCAATGGGTAGAAGAGTCGATAGATTTCCCCCAAGTGGCTTGCATGCCACCTGTCAGCACTGTGAAAGCCATCCAGCAGAAAGGAAATCCCCACCTCACTTCTAGCTTGGTTTATCTTTGTCTCATAACTGAGGTGTGTGGTGTCTTTCAGCAATATTCTTATTGACTAGTTCCGGTGAGCAACCAACAGCAATGGCAAGAGTATACAGTGACAGATCTCACATATGGCCTTGGGCTTTTCATTTGACAACTCATTGCTTTTAGAAGCAGCCTTATCCAGCCATGTAAAATATAGCCCTTCCAACTTTTTTAAACCATATTTTTAATTGACTTACAAAATGGCAGATTTCCATATGGTTTTTGCATACACTTGTTACTTTTACTTCAATTAATTCTCACCTCTCTTGCTCTTTCACTTCTGGGCCCCAACCCTCTCTCTGCTTGGACCTTTCTGTCTTCTCTATTCCCCACTTCTACTTTCATATCACCTAGGCTCTCCTTGTAAGCATTGCAGCTCAGGTGGAAAGGGATCCGAGCAGTCGGGAGCCAAGGAATAACACAATGTCACCGTCCCTAGCAGAAAGTGTTCCAGTTCTGTTCCTCTCCACTCTACTCTGGCTGTGGAGTAGGAAGCGTTGTTGTCCCTTCTCTGCTCTACTCCACTGAAGCAGGTGAAAGAAGGTCTCACCCAAACCTCATTCAAGAGATTTATCGGGAGGGACAAATCCAGGAGGATTGATGCCTCTGCTGTAGTGGAAAAAGGTTGCCGTCAACTGAGCAGGCGTCGGGCTTCTTAGGGGCAGAGTTTTTCCAGGGTGGAGATTTTCAGGGTGGAAATTGGTCAGATTTCAATCCCTGATCTTAGATAGACTCAGAGATGGGCTGGATTTCGTGCTCAGAGATTAGTTGGGTTTTGTGCTGAGTTGGTCAGGGTCAGAGATTGTTCTTCTGGCTCTGGTTTCAAGGCCAAAGTGTGTTTCTTCCATTGGCTCTAGTTTCAGGGCCAAGGTGTGTTTCTTCGATGACCCTTTTACCCTACACTGTTAGTCTCCCTCCCTTAGGTCATTCTCCACCCTGATGGCCCCTTCTCGTTTTCTGACTTTTGTATTAACTCCCATTTATACACACAAATGTAAAGATTCAACGACAGGACCCATATCCGACAGAGAACATGTACCTGGTGTGGTGAAGGAGACAATAACTAATAAAATACAAGAGACTGAAAACCATACCCACTGGGAATATTTCACCTGGTGTTCCAAGTCTCCCCTCACCTGCTGATAGGTCATGTCATGAATCTATGACAAGACTTAAGAGACCAGCAAAGTTCAGGAGGTCTTGTTTCACAAGAGAGTCTTCGGGTTTTCTAGGCCCTTGTGACACATGCCAGACCTTTCAGGGAGCCACAAGAATGTCTGAGAGGAGGTTCTAAACCACTATAATTCGTGGGTAGGCTTTGCTCGCTGAGACCTGAGCCATAGGGTATTCCCCATTGATGAAGCTCGGGACCACAGGGGTCACTGGCTCTTATTCATATGCCTGAGGTGGGTTTGCCTTGCCATATGGCAGGGAAACTCTGGCCCTTAGTCTGTACATGATGTGGTTGCGCGAGAGGTCATAATTAATAGGTGTGAAAGGTGCTAGCAGCTGTACCCCAACAGTATTTGAAGGTGCTGTGTGCCTCCACTCCTGAACGCTTTGCTTACGTATTCCATGGGTTGAGCAGAGTTTTATATGAATAAGCCCAGACTCTACCATACATTTCTCTCCATGGAGATGCTGAGAACACGCAGCTACACATCTTCCACTCTTTGCTTCCTACCAGCTGGGTCTTCTGGTGACATGGTGCTATGCAATAGACATTCAACCCATTCCTTTCCCTTTTTATGGAAAAGGCATAATTTTTCTGGGTGTGATAGTACACACATGTCATTCCAGTTCTTGGAAAGCTGAGGCAGGAAGATCAAGAATTCCAGACAAGCCTGCAAAACCCTGTCTCAGAACAACAAAAACCTAATTGTAGAGGCTGTGAACGCCAGTGAGTATCTAGATGACACACATACATTGGGAGCAAAGAGAATGGAGAAGATTTCACTGGCAAAGTG